TAAAATGAACTTGCATATTAAACCATGGAGTCTACAAGTTGTTAAAATAAAGTCAAGTTTCAAACCTAATTTTCATTACTTTTTAATATACTTCTTTTCACAATTAATTAATGAAATGATGAAAATTTCCATTTAAAAAAAAATGTCATATTTCTGCTTAAGGTCTGTAGCCCCCCCCCCCCCCTCCTTCTAGGCGAAAAAAATATAAACAAGAGGACATTTTCTGTCAAGAGTTGGCTGATATCAATACAATATCAAATTAATTGTGTAATTCCAACATTTTTTTCCTTTTTTTAAATGGATACTACCATAAGCTTTAAACATTACAATTTTAAAACAATGTCTGTGTCAGATAAACATGATAAAAAAATGAATAACAAAAAGTGCATTGCATTGTCGAGAAATCAGATGTAAGTATGCCTTTCCTTAAAGCTTGTGTTGCGAAAAGTGGCGAAAAATATTTTCGGTCCAGTGGGAGCCCTGCATTTTGGTTTTAAAAAATCGTTCAAATGAATATCGAACTTACTGAAGATGTTGAAGGATATTATTTTGTCAAACTACATAGACACATTTATTTCCGACCAGTGCATATGGTTTTTCGCCACGTTAATTGAATTGAAGATTCTGGGTGCATATGCACTCATCGTAATAGCATCGATCTATAGGAAAGTCATTTGATGTTAAGAGTGAAGAACTTTTAATAACTGCACTTGTTTTAATTAATTATTAATATTAAATCTAACAATTTTATCTTAATCTACCCTGTTCATGTAAAAAAGACATAACGCTGATTGATGTCATTTACATGTAGCTATGTCCAGTATGGATTAAACGGATATAGACAAGGGAGGTAACTTTTATTATATATATTTACCAATTCCGTGAACTCAAGAAACCGCGAACATGTCAGATGAGAGAAAAACTTGAAAATTACAACCCGTGAAATTAATCCCCTATACTGTATTTTTATTATTTTCATTTTTGGCATCTTTTTTTTTGAGGCCTACAGTATTTATTTAGACTCATACTAGGAATATCATATATTTAGCAGAATTACTCCACTGAATTTTTTTTTGCAGGTGAACATGAAGCAGATTCCTGGATGGTGTTTAGGCTGTTTGTCAACATGTAAAATCCACGAGTATTTTGGGGTAAGGATGTTGTTTACAGTCAAATTTCTTTCTTTAAAGCTGCATAAGTTGTATTTAAGTTTTAAATTCTGATTTCAAATATTTGTTCAAGAATTAATTTTTATTTTCTTTTTCATGAATTAGATGCTTCAAGTCTATATATAGTCAATTAATTAATTTAATACAAAGCTATAAATTAATATATTGTGAAATTATTTCCTTGTGTGAGACCTAAAGAAAAACAGGTAACTCTCATTTTTTACCACTATGTACAATTTCTCTGATTTCAGGAGTAGTCTCCTCTGTTTAAGATCAATAATGGCAGATCTACAATGCAGGATACAGTCTGGTCATCAACAGAGAGTTTTGACACCTGTATACCTGTATTTCTACCAATCACTTGTAACATACCTTAATATGTACCTTAATATGTACCTTTGGACGGACAGACTGGGAGGAAACCTATAGTCCCCTCTGGTTTCATCGGTAGGGGAATAATAATTCAATATTTACATGTTTACATTTTACCCATTTACACAGTTGAAAAGAATCATGCATTATAAATAAAACACTGAGCAACATATTGTAGCTTCCTTTTTAATTTTTGATCTGTTATTATGATTTAATGGAAGCATACTCTTTAGAATTTTTATCATACAGCTGATATCATTGAGATTTATAGTATTTTCTTTGAGATTTATATTTAAACAGTTATTGTTTTATTTTAAAGTAATTTTGTCCATTTTGTTGTTGTTTTAGATGATGGACCACTCTACTTCCTTTTACAGCAGGTGCCCCTACCGATTTACACAGTTCTAATGTTGAGTTTTCATGACCCCTATTCAGTGAGTGCACAACTTTATGTATTCTACTTTCAAAATTTCTACTACTTGTAATACATTTTGGATTTGATTTAAATATGCCCTATTTACAAAATCAGATTTTTTGTGTACAAGTATGATATTTAATTATGCCCTCCTTTGAAGAAGGGAGGGCATATTGCTTTGCTGCTGTCTGTCGGTCCACTTAGTTCCATTCATTTTCTTTGCAACCGTTGCACATACTGAAATGAAATTTGGTACATGTATACTGATACATGTATCTAGGTCAAGTTTTGTTTTGGGTACAATTGCACCGTTTTTGACAGAGTAATGCCCCTTTGACTTAGAAAAATTTCAATTATTTGTAGTTTCCGTTCATTTTCTTCACAACCGTTGCACATACTGAAATGAAATTTAGTATACAGATTTATCAGATAAATATCTTGGTCAAGTTCTGTTTTGGGTTCAGTCGCACCATTTTTAGACCCTTTTGGACCTAGAAAAATTCCATTGGGGGGAGGGGGGCATAAGTGTTTTACAAAGATCTCTTGTTCTTTCAATATTACTTGGTCCTAAAATCAAATTTATACAGTATTTTAACAAACATTTAGTTGTCTTCTTCTGTCGTATAATTCAAAGTCACTAGGCGACATGAAAATTTCCATTTCATGTTTTACAGTCCACAACAGAAAAAGGAATAAAGTTGACAGGACTTTCCACGTTGTCTTTGGTAGCTGCAGCTTACAATAGAGCCAGCTGCAGTAGACATAGCAATTGCTTCATCAAAGGTAAGTCTCCGGAGTAGCTAGTGTTTGTAGCAATTCTAGCTCGTAGTCTTGCATTGAAGCTTCAGGTCTAAGGTAACTCTTCTCGGCACAGATTCTCTCATGGCCTAATGGTTCTTCCTGGAAACATGTGACTGCTGAATAGAGTCTTAGCAGTCTGTTTTCCAAGTCTGACACATCTTTTTCATATTGGATATTTTACTTGAAAAGATGTTAATGGTTATCTTAAACAACAAACCTTTATGATAAACGTGATGAGTTTAACTTTTCAATCATCATCTTTCCTTACTTACACAGCAATATACCTTCATCACCTGCAAAAGGGTTTAAAATCTCTCAGTTGATTTTATACGCAAATATGTACAATTTCTAAAACATTAAGATAAATTATTGACAAGTTGATGATGAAACAAGAATATCAGCAGTCTCATTTAAGTTATTTTGTAAGTTTTAAGGTCGATACAATGACGTTAACTGTCATAAATTAAATAATACTGCGATAGGTTTGACTAACAATTTTCCTGCCTTTGCAGATATCCTAGGAGGTCCATGAGTCGTTACCCTAATGAGCTAATGTCCGATTTCAAAATAAATTCGAGATACTGTTTCATTTCGTAAGTCATACCTTAGTTATGTTCCCCAAACGAAGTTGGGGAACATATTGTTTTTACTCTGTTTCTTATTATTATTATTTTTCTTCTTCTTCTTCTTCCTGGGTACTTTTTTGTTGATCTTGTAAATTGTTGATCCGATGTAGGTAAAACCTTTTTAGGGTCAGTAGACATGTTATGTAGATTTGCGGAATCAAGGTCATTTTGTGCGCACGTGCTTGCAAGAGCGCGCACGTGCATCATGTGAAATGAACAATATAATGTATATTGCCTTAACTTTTCTATTTTTTGATGAAATGCTTTGAAACTCATAGTGTAAAGATATATTAGTACTATAGACAAGATGACATGGTCAAAATAGCAAGATCTCACGCGCATGCACGTGCGCTTTGCTCTGATTGGCTGAAACTAAAGTCTCTATATCTTTCTTGTTTTTTGACGAAATCCTTTGAAACTTAAATTGAACATAGCCATGCATAAGGATATCCTACAACATGGTATATAGGAATTATCATGAAAACACGTGCATGCACGTGCGCTGCAATCTGATTGGCTGAAACTTTAAATTGCTATAACTCCCTCGGTTTTCAACCAAACAGGATAAGATTTGGAACATAGATATATATAATCGACTTCTACAAGAAGGTATGGTCACCATGCACATGCATACATGTGCGTGTACATGCGCTGCAATCTGATTGGCTGAAACTTTAAACAGGTATAACGCCCTTGGTTTTCAACCAGATGGGGTGGGATTTAGAACATAGATAGATGTAATGGACTTCTACAAGAATGTATGGTCACCATGCTCATGTATGCACGTGCGTGCACGTGAAATGGGTAAAATCAAAAATACACTTAAATGACCGTTTTTTTAATATACTTTTGGATTATATTTAGCATATTAAAATATATAGATTGTGTAGACAATATGATATGGTCATTACGCACATGCATTCACATGCGCAAGTGTGCAATAATAAAATTTGAATGAACATGGTACACTTTTTGGTAAACGTTATTAAAGTCTCAAATGCATAGAGTTTGTCTTATTTAATTACGCCTACAGGGAATATGATTATAAAAGGGAGTTGAGGAGCGTTTGGGGAACATCTGTAACGGTCCCCGTTACAATTAGCACTAGTTGTAAATATTTTTTCTTTCGATTAAACTGATAGTTTTTAAAAATCATGCCTTTATTGATTGTTTACATCTCGTTCAAAGTACCAATGACAATGTTTACCCAACGCCTTTTTAGAAACACATGTCCTGTGGTCGTGACCTTAGTGGAAATTACATAATACAGACCCAAAAATTCCAAATTGGACATGTGACTTTTGTTGACTTTATATAAATAATGCGTGCCGTAGCTCCAATACACTTGAGATAGGATGTAAGAAAATAATATCAAATATTTTCTTTCTTAACATATGCAGTAATAGCGGATTTATGTTAAGTTAGGGGAAATTTTGTTTCTGATTATACACTTTTGCCTGCTTTTGTCCATATCATCTTCAGCAGCTGTAAAATATGACAAAATCAATCCAAATAATTTTTTTCTGACGATGTAGTGCAGTAGGGGGTCAAAATCTTGCAAGATATTCAAGAAAAATAAAAGGTGCATGACTCTTAAGGACCGTAACGAATGTAGGGCCTCCGATGATTCATATATAAGCTGGCTGAGGCTGTTGCAACCATTGTTTACAACATTGTTTGAGGTGTTTATTGTGATGTCACAATGCCGCTGCATGCGCACTGACCCTCCAGTGAATACAGCGTCAAACCCAGTGAATACGTAGTATTTTGACCTGTTTGTGCTTGTATAGATTATATAAATAGGAAATATAGATAGACAATATTATGCGATATCTCCATATTGCAGCATAGGCGCTCCCCATGTAATTCTGTAAATGACGTATGATAAGTATATAGGGTGAGTTCACCATGCATCGGACACATACCTTGCTTCGGACAACTTTAGGCAATAAACTCTCTTTCAGCTTAAGAGTTCTGTGTATTTATTTGTTTCTGTCATAAAGATGAAGATTTAAATTTTTTGATGATACCGATTTTGTTTATCATGTTGTGATAAAAATACCCCGCAAATGGCCTTGAAATTACGTCATATTTTACATCATCAAAGGGGAATAACCCGAAATTTATGATTTTGCAATTTTTAGAGTTATCGTTCTTTTAAATTCGACTTCCACGGAACGAGTCGGACTTTGGTGAATTTTGTCAGGGATTGGTAATTTTACATAAATTATAAGGAAATTTCACTTCAATGTTTGTTTAATTCTTATTAGAGCTGGTTTTTACTAGTATGCTAATTTCACTGTACATCGGACACAAATTAACCATGCATCGGACACTTTTCGATGCAAAGGTAAACACTACCATTTTCATACAGAACCCAGCTGACAGCTGCTTTTTGCGGAAAAAGAAAATCAAAACTCTATATTTTCAGTCAAAATACAAGTTATCGATATATGACGTCTGGAATTTGACTCAATTTATTTCTACAAACCAGAGTATGATAAACCATGAGAAAAAGGCGCGAATTACCGCATTATAAGCATTTTAAAGCATTTTATAAGACAGAGTGAGGTCTGTAGAATCGTTCTACATTTGTGCAATAATATCGTCGATTAAATTTATGTTGAGGATTATTTCTAAGAAAAAAGATGGAAATATATCCATATCAAGGATTTTAAAGCACTGTGATCAAAGTATGATATTTTTCCGGTCTCCATACCGTTTGTACGATGCATGGTGAACAATGTCCGATCCATGGTGAATTTTCAGTTTTTCCTAAAAACTCGATTTTTGGGGATATTTTCTTAATAAACGGCATATAATTGTGTCCTAAATTGTTATTTTAATCACAAACTAAATGTTAAACTCCATTTTGATAAATTTCCGTCGGTAGCGATATCGCTAGAACTTGTTGAAGTACAAGGGTATCCGATGCATGGTGAATTCACCCTATAGGTCTACCCCTCTATACTATAAAATATCCAAGGCCTGCAACTGGGCGCCATTGTGGATTTCGCCTGGGACCTCTGGCTGACTTACTTTAAGGGTTTCTGGGGTACACTGGGCTGGTTATCAGCATCGGGTACTGTAATTTATTGAAATAAAATATTTGCAAACTTTTATCCAGCACCATTCCGTTGCTTTCTCTTGTTTTCAAACATTTCTCTATTACACCGTCACACTTAGCTGATCTCGGCCGGAAGAAGTCGATTTCGTCGATTTTCAACAACTCGTACGAAAATAACTTTCGGAAGTTTGACAATATATTTAGTGGGGAAAGTACATAGGCGCTTGGTTTCAGGATGGTGTATTTTGTGTATTATGTGTTTTTTGGTTTGTCTGAATACCCTCATTAAAGAAAAATGAAAACTCGCTGAAATTAATAGCACGTTTTAAAAATGTCATATGTACAGTATATATACTCTCATAGGCACGTACATGTAGCATCGTTTTTGAAAGTGAGGGGGGGGGGTGGGGGTGGGCTGCCAGAGAGAAACATTTTTTTTTCACTTACCTGTAAAAGTTGACGAGCCGAAAAAAAAAAGCTCAAACACGAAAATCCTATTTCGGGGGGGGGGGGGGGGGGGGGGGGGGAAGGAAGGGGGTAGTGGCCAATTTTTTTCAAAGCCAACTTCCTTTCACTTTCATTTTTTTCCCATACAATACTAGTACATTTTCCTTCATATCACAATACTATGGTAATAAGTGTGTGTGGGGGGGGGGCAACCTACCTTTCAATGCACATTTTCAATAGTAAAGGTAATGTTGGAGAAAAAGTAGGGGCGGGCAACCCCCCTCCCCCCTTGTTGCTACGTGCCTGTCTAGCTCATACGGACTTGTGTAGAGAAAATAAATCAGCTGGAAAAATCAGTACCTCTTTCCGAGATAATATTTTTTTATTTTCTCAAAGAGTATCACAGGGGCTTGTGTACAGAAACAAAAAAATGTACCCCAGAGAGAAAAAAAACTCCAAAGAATATGACATTTCTAAAACGTGCTAATTTCAGCGAGTTTTCATTTTTATTTAATGAGGGTATTCAGACAAACCAAAAAACACATAATACACAACATACACCATCCTGAAACCAAGCGCCTATGTACTTTCCCCACTAAATATTGTCAAACTTCCGAAAGTTATTTTCGTACGAGTTGTTGAAAATCGACGAAATCGACTTCTTCCGGCCGAGATCAGCTAAGTGTGACGGTGTAATAGAGAAATGTTTGAAAACAAGAGAAAGCAACGGAATGGTGCTGGATAAAAGTTTGCAAATATTTTATTTCAATAAATTACAGTACCCGATGCTGATAACCAGCCCAGTGTACCCCAGAAACCCTTAAAGTAAGTCAGCCAGAGGTCCCGGGCGAAATCCACAATGGCGCCCAGTTGCAGGCCTTGGATATTTTATAGTATAGAGGGGTAGACCTATATATACTTATCATACGTCATTTACAGAATTACATGGGGAGCGCCTATGTATTGCAGCACTGTTAAGGAGAAATCAACGGGAAATAGATGTGCAAAACACGGGACCTTTTCAAAACTGAATTTATTTTTATTAAGCTGTTTTATTATCACAGAACTTAAATACTTATGGAAATAGCATAGTATAATCCACTCTGTACTGTATGAAGTTTGGTATGTCCTATCAATGAACAGTCACATGAAAAAGGCAAAGTTTGTGTACTGAATGCAAGTCAATAACAAATGTCGGTATCATGAGGACATACCTCATAAATAGTGGAAATTAGAAATCCAAGCTATTAATTATTTCTGCATACTTTGTACTTTCTGTTAAGGAAAATATCCTTTATTTATGTTCAAAAAATGGTTAAAATCTATCTAGTGTATGCCCTTGCGAAAGGCGATTTAATGAGGCATATCAATGTTTAATATGCCTAACCTGTACACAAAAGCATAGCAGAATTAATTAAATGTATTCTCTCGATAGTACCGTATATCAGGTTTTTTCCGCGTCATGTTTTTTCCGCGAATCAGAACCTAAATCAGTATATTAAATTTACGCAAATCAAATTTTCACCATTTCAAAGTCCCAGTGATTATATTATATTAACAATTGTTTAAGCCTGTGAAGGAATAGGATGTAAAATGTAAAAGTCATTAAGCTTGAGTTACTTCATACAGGTGAGAAATAGACCTGATCGACCTTCACCTCGTCAATTTCGGAAGACCCGCTTAGCTAATTACACACCTGTGTTGCGTACTAACTCTCAAATCCACAGTTATTATTATTTAAGTTTTAAACAATCATAGGTCATTAACTGACTAGTAGCTCAGGCATAATTAGTTTAATGGCTTCTCGCAAGGAACGTGATAATTAGCTAGCTTGTCAATTAGTAAACAAACAATAAGGGCTTATACCTATTTCCAGTATCTTGTCCTCTGATACCGCTATTTCTACCCTCTACAATACATTAAGAAATAATTCTGCTACAAGAAAAAAACTTTGTATAAATTTACGCTGTTTTATTTTCCGCGATTCAGAACTCGTTGCAAACAAAGCGGAAATTGGATACACGCGGAAAAATCCTGATATACGGTAATTAATAATCAAACTAAACATAGGCTATATACATTGGTATTAATAGCCTATTTAAAACCTGTAAAAAATATTCTGTTTAATAATAAAATACATTTTTATGCCCCGCCAGGAATATGGCCGGGGCATATACTGTTTGTCATGTCCGTCTTCCGTCCTTCTGTCCTTCCATCCTTCTGTCCTTCCGTCACACTTTGCGTTTAGCTCTGACCCCACTTTTCTTAAATTAGTGTTTAGTTCAGTTTTAAACATACCATTCAAGATGGTGTTATCAAACTTCACATGTTGATACAAACTTGTACAGATGATGCATCTCGGGATGAACACTACCAGACTTGCTTCAGATGCTGGATCTGACCTACATTTTTCAGATGAGTGACCAGGTTAAAGTTTTTGGAGCAGGTCCATTACTAAGGAACTATAAGCCCTACTTGGAACAAACTTGCATGGATGATGCATTTAGAGATGGACACTACTAGACTTGCTTTGGATGCTGGATCTGACCTACATTTTCATTCCGAAGTAATTATAAGCCCTATCTGAACCAAACTTGCATGGATGATGCATCTAGGGATGGACACTACCAGACTTGCTTCGGATGCTGGATCTGACCTATATTTTCATTCCCAAGTAACTATAAGCCCTACCTGAACAAACTTGCATGGATGATGCATCTAGGGATGGATGCTGCTAGACTTGCTTCGGATGCTGGATCTGACCTATATTTTCCAAACAAGCAATTCAGCTGTATCACTATTCAAGATATTATGATCAAATTTTATACACATACAAATTTTCATGTTGCTTTACTAATATATCCTCAGCGGGGCATTCATGTCCTATGGACATATTTACCAAAATAACATCAGGTAAAAATGATGTCTTGTTGACAAGTTCATCACGATCAATGATTTGTTTATAACCAGCTGTGTGGGATTTAATGAGCAACTTTAATAAGTTTTATTGTTGTTTATTATGCTAATACAGTTTAAAAATGCAAATTATTTTATTTTCTGGTATTATGAGGAATACATTTCTATTGTGTGTGAATTGTCACAGTAAACTTTTCCCATATAAATAAGGCCCCTTTTTTGGCCTTATCAATGCTGCGATTTTCCCATTCTTTTAGAGTCAAAGAATTAAGTGATGCAGTTCTTTAAGGTTTTCATTTATATGTCCTAAATGTTTTTCAGATGCACCAGATGCAGCGGCACTGTCTCCATCACTGGTGAAATGGGATATGACTAGTGGAGGGTCATCACTTTGTAACTCGCCATTACAATTAGCAGCCTTGTAATCCCTTTAATTCTCATCTCCAATGGTGGTCTACGGTGGAATGGTTGCAGTGCAGTTTTCGTGCCCTGGGCAGGTAACTTCGTTTCTTTTGCTTCGTAGGTGTGTGCCTTTCTTGGATAGTGTATTCCCACAGAATACTTCCACAACATTTTTCCTCTGAGTTACATTTTCACGGAAGGTACAAGTCACTTGGATGGCAGCTTGGAATTTGATTTATCCAATGGCTTTGAAGGTGACATTAATGTACCGAGCATATACTTACACTCTTATGGGGGAGGGTATCAAGTAGTCCACATTTTACATTGAGTCCTTGAATGTTCGGCCTTATTTTCTTCATATATTGGCAATAATTTTAACCACTTTGTTGCAGGTCTATTGGTGGTTGATGCTGTTTCAATATTTGCACCAAGAAGCATACCATGCATACCTTCTGTTGTAACACTGGTACCCAGGTGACCGACAGTCATGGCCACATTCAGCTGTGCAGCTCTTTGTCCCCTGCCAGATCTTCTCACCTCTTTGTAGTAAAGCTTTTCTCGGTGACTGGTATGGTGGCATTTCTTACATCGGATGGAAAGGATCCATGCCAGGCCTCTTTTTTCCTTCCCTTGCTGATTCCAGTCAAGTAGACCATCACAGTCTGGAAACTTATGTGAGTGTTCTTTAAATGCATTGTTCCAGATTTAGCAGTCTTTTCTTGGTGAAGTACTTTGTATAATTTCAGGGATATGCCTTTGTCGTACAATCTTCATCTCATGTGCACTAGGTGCCTCGGCTATTCAATAGACATCTATAACTGCAAACATTCCATTTTTCTGTGGCCTTACAATGTCCTGAAACTCTTTTTTACTTAGTCTTCTTATGGGAACAAGACATTTGACTGGGTTGGTGGTCCCTATATTCTTCTGGCCTACAAGAATATTTCAAAATATTATGATGCTTTAAAGCTCAATTTCAATGGAAAAATTTAACAATTTACTTTTATTTTTCAATTTTTGGCAAAATTTTTAGGCTTTCAGTATTGAATTTGGACTCGTGTACTAGGAATATCATAAATGTAGCAGAATTATGCCACTGAATTAAAGGGAACTCTTTTTTTCAGGTGTGCATGATGCAACTTCCTAGATGGTGTGTAGGCTGTTTATCAACATGTGAAACCAATGTGTATTTCAGGTTGGTATGTTTATACTGTCAATTTTCTTTCTTAAAAGCCACATGAGGCATTTATTATGCCCCCTTCGAAGAAGGGAGGGCATATTGCTTTGCTGCTGTCGGTCTGTCTTTCGGTACACTTAGTTTCTGTTCATTTTCTTTGCAACCATTGCACATACTGAAATGAAATTTGGTATACAGATATATCATGAATATCTAGGTCAAGTTGTGTTTTGGATACGAACGGAAGACTTTAATTACTTCCTTGTGTGAGAACTAAAAAGGAGCAGATATCTCTCATTTTGTCTACAATTTCTCTGATTTCAGGAGTAGTTTCCCCTGTTAAAGATCAATAATTCACAACATACAATGCGGCATGCAGTCTGGTCATCAATGGAGAGTTTTGACAGCTGTATACCTGTATTCTACCAGTCAGCTTTGTAGCCTTTGTTGTGTTCATCAGACAGGTAAGAAAAAAAAGTTAATAAAATTAAATCAAGCTATGTAGTAATACATAGTGAAATTATTTCTTTGTTTGAGACATAAATGCAATCTTGTAGCACCCTCCCTTGGGATCTGGCAAAATCCCTGATCCTTGTAAACCTGGAATTTGCTTATATGGAAGATTCATATTTAAACTTTGAATTTCAAATTGACCTTTGATATACTGTAGATCATATATGATTTATTTTAAAGAACATTTAAATGATTCTTAAGTTTTTCTCAAGGTTCTTTTTATCATTTCAGGCTTTAGGTGAAAGTGGTCTGTCACTGAGTCAACAATTACTGTGAGCCAATATTTGAAGTCATTCACAAGCAGAAAATATACATAAAGCCAACATTCATCATGTTTGATCTTAAACTACCAAACTACCAGGTAATATGTTTATTAATGATCCTTATTTTAGCTAAAAGTGTTGTTTTTGTCTCGGTCTATCATTATCATTAGCTAATTTATTTACTGTGTATTTGAAATACAATTGTCATGTATAGTAAAAAAAATTATTTGAATTTTTCTAGTCTTAAAACATTCTTGTAGGTAAAATGAGGATGTTTCTATCATTATCATTATATATACCCTGAAAACTTGTACTTTAAATATACACAAAGTATCATACAGTATAGTAAAAAAATTATGGGATTCATTGTATTTCTGTAGTGTTGGATAACGGGAGCCTTGCCCAGTATTACTCAAACGTTAGCTATGGGGATAGAGTCCAGAGATATTTTCCCTATGGATGTGTTTCAAAGAATTCTGATGGACCTTGGAACAGTGTCAGTTATGGGAGATAATTTCACTACTTGTGTTTTTCCAAAAGTTTCCATGTGACCTAGAGATGGACTCGGGATATTTTATTGCTACCAATGTTTTTCCAAGATTTCCCATACGGCCTGGACCAGGACAAACCACCAGGAATACTATGTGAAGGAACCTTTATAATTTTGGATGGTTGTGGGAATTTGATGTATTACTGTAGTGTATAACCATGACATTTTCCATGATATATCTAGGATAATAGAAGAATTCATTTTACTAGATAATTGTTTAAGATTACTTAGGCTTACTGTTTTATCTGAATGAGACAGAATCATTCAGAGAGCATTTAATAATTTTTTTTTATCTAGAGGTATTGAGGTTTAATAATTATACCTTTTTTCCTTTTACTTAAATTTCCTTTTCGAAGTTTATTGGATTCTAAAGATTGATTTAAAATTTATTTGTATGTCTTTGTTTTGAACTTTTTTTATGCATGTATAAAGTTTTTTTTTCAGATATATTATTTAAGCTAAAAAGTGGTGGAGGTATTTTTACCAGTGATTTGCTGAATGCTGAAAAGAAACTAATTTTAGCTTATTATTACCTTAGATTGTTTCTATACATAAGAAATCTAGGTAACTGTGGGAGGTTTTTTTCTTTATATATGTATTTGAATCAGCACTTGTCTGAATTTTAAAGTTAAAAACAGTTTTTTTTAAATCAGTGCTTGATCACGAATAAATAGAGTTAATACAAGGGAGGTTCTTAGTGCTTACCTGAATATTTGAATTTAAAAGTAAGGTAGATACATGTATTTAGTACTTGTCTGAATATTTAAGTTTAAAAATAGGGAGGTACATGTATTTAAGTTTAAAAATAGGGAGGTACATGTATTTAAGTTTGAAAATAGGAAGTTATTTAGCTCTTGTCTGAATATTTAGATTTAAATATGACTGAGGTATTCACTGCTTGTTTGAATATTTTTTTTTTAAAATGAGGGAGGTATATAGTGCTTGTCTGAATATTTAGATTTAAATGTGATTGAGGTATTAAGTGCTTGTTTGAATATTTAACTTTAAAAAATAAGGGAGGTACATGTATTTAGTTTCTTGCCTGAATATTTAGATTTAAAAGTGACATAATTAATTCATGCTTGCCTGAATATTCAAGTTTTAAAATGAGGTAGATAGTTCTTGCCTGAATATTTAACTTAAGGAGGGAGGTTGTTAGTATTTTCCTGTATTAGCTATTGAAGTTTTAAACCAGAGAGGTACATAGAACTTGCCTGAATATTTTTTTAAGTTTTAAGACAAGGGAGGTATTGAGTGCTTGCCTTACATTTACTATGGACATTTTATATGAGGGAGATATTTATTGCTAAATATTTATTTAAAAAAAAAAAACAGAGGTATTTAGTAAAGGGAGGTAGTTAGTTCTTGTCTGAATTTTTAATTTTAAAACGAGCGAGGTTGTTAGTGTTTACCTGTATTAACAATGAAATTTTAAATGAGGGAGATTTTAAGTACTTACCTGAAATTTACTAGGCTTATAGAAGTGTTGAAATAGGGTGGTATTTTGCCCATATATGTAAGTTTTAAGATGAGAGAGGGAGTGTAGTGTCTGCATTAAGATGAAGGAGCCTGTCAAGAAAATGTCACACTTCCACAAGAAAACTTTAATGAGCAAGTTATATTTTTAGAAAAGTAAGTAAAAAGGGTAATTTCTGTGGTTTATGTTGCTTGCAGTGTTTTTCTGCTTTTTGTTCATTTAAATGGCAATACTATTTTTTTTTTCAAACAGAAAATTCTATGAAAAATTGAGTCAAAGAAAGTTTTGAAGATGACGAACAGGGAATGATCCAAAACAAAAACTGTAATCAATACAAATCTGTAAATAAGGCATAAACAAGGATCACAGGAAATCACAGCTGTGGGATCAAGTGCCTTGGAGGACTAAACATCCCATAACGATCCGGTCACACCTGTTACTAGCATATTGTAATGATCAGAGAGATGGAATATTCTATGCTCAGTTTCAGTATCATATATATTATGATAACCACAGAAATTATCCATTGTATGGTATTTTTATGGTAGATATTCTGTCTTTCTTCTTCCTTTCTCTTTTTATTTTTTTTTTTCTAAAGCTTAAAGAAGCAAGGTCTTTTTTCTTCTGACTATCCCCCTTTTTTAAGGTAATTTTTTTTTTTAAATATTTCTTATTAATTCAAATGACAATTATTTATATACTATCTCTTCTTTCTTTCTCTTATATATTTTTTTTTTACATAAATGTTCTTATTTCTCTTTTCTTTCTTTTTTTAATTAGGAGTTTTTTTTATTTTTAAGATAGTTTTATTTTTCTCTCATATAATTTAGTTTTAATTTATTTTCTTATGGCAAGGACGCTTCGTTTAAAAGCTTTAATCAGAAGAAGTATCCCTTTCTCATTATTTCATAATCAGAGATATCTCAACGGCTATCACAGGCTCCCTCTATAACTCATTGTAACTTTGTCTTTGTCATAAAGTTATCTAAGTTGTTGTATTTTTGTAATGGTAATGATGTTTAAAAAGCAGTAGTGATTAGTAATTTTCCTCATTTTTTCAGAGGAATTAAATTTAACTGAAGACATCTCATGGATTTTAAAAACCTCCCTATGTACCTCATTATAGCTATGAACATCAAAATGTCTGGCTCGAGAGAAACAGATGAATTAAGTCACACTTGCTCAGATTTTTTCTTAAATGAGCACGTTATCTTTTGATAAGGGTAGTTATTTTCCATAAAACGGGTAATTTCTGTGGCTCATGTTGTTTGCATTTTTGCCCTTTTTAATTCATTTCAATGGTAGTATCGTTGCTTTTTAAAGCAGAAAATTTTATGAGAAATTGAGTCAATGAATGTTTTGAAGATGACGAACAGTGCATGATCCAAAACAAAAACTATAATTAATTCAAATCTGTAAATAAGGCATAAAACAAGGATCACAGGAAATCACAGCTGTGGGATCAGGTGCCTTGGAGGACTAAGCATTCCATAATGATCCGGTCACACCTGTTATTAGCATAATGTAATGATCAGAGAGATGGAATATTCCGTGCTCAGTTTTAGTATCAAACAAAGCTGAAATAGTTCAGTCATAATAACCACAGAAATTATCCATTGTATGGTATTTTTATGGTAGATATTCTGTCTTTCTTTTTCCTTTCTCTTTTTATTTTTTTTTTCTAAAGTTTAAAGAAGCAAGGTCTTTTTTCTTCTGACTATCCTCCTTTTTTAATTAATTTTTTAAAAAATATTTCTTATTAATTCAAATGACAGTTATTTATATACTATCTCTTCTTTCTTTCTCTTATATTTTTTTTTACATAAACGTTCTTATTTCTCTTTTCTTTCTTTTTTTAATTAGGAGTTTTTTTATTTTAAGATAGTTTTATTTTTCTCTCATATAATTTAGTTTATTTACTTTCTTATGGCAAGGTCGCTTCGTTTAAAAGCTTTAATCAGAGAAATACCAGTATCTCTTTCTTTCTCATTATTTCATATCAGAGATATCTCAACAGCTATCACAGGCTCCCTTTATAACTCATTGTAACTTTCTGTCTTTGTCATAAAGTTATCTAAGTTGTTGTATTTTTGTAATGGTAATGATGTTTAAAAAACAGTAGTGATTAGTAATTTTCCTCATTTTTTTCAGAGGAATTATACTTAACTGAAGACATCTCATGGATTTTAAAAACCTCCCTATGTACCTCATTATAGCTATGAACATTAAAATGTCTGGCTCGAGAGAAACAGATGAAGTTCACACTTGCTCAGATTTTTTTCTTAAATGAGCATGTCTTGTTATATTTTTATAAGGGTAGTTATTTTCCATATAACGGGTAATTTCTGTGGCTCATGTTGTTTGCATTTTTGCCCTTTTTAATTCATTTCAATGGTAATATTGTTGCTTTTTAAAGCAGAAAATTCTATGAGAAATTGAGTCATGAATGTTTTGAAGATGACGAACAGTGAATGATCCAAAACAAAAACTGTAATCAATTCAAATCTGTAAATAAGGCATAAAACAAGGATCACAGGAAATCACAGCTGTGGGATCAGGTGCCTTGGAGGACCAAGCATTCCATATCGATCAGGTCACACCTGTTACTAGCATAATGTAATGATCAGAGAGATGGAATATTCTGTGCTCAGTTTTAGTATCAAACAAAGCTGAAATAGTTCAGTCATAATAACCACAGAAATTATCCATTGTATGGTATTTTTATGGTAGATATTCTGTCTTTCTTCTTCCTTTCTCTTTTTATTTTTTTTTTCTAAAGCTTATAGAAGCGAATTCTTTTTTTCTGCTTATCCACCATTTTTTTTGTGAAATATTTTTATAAATCTTTTTAATTCAAATGATATATGTATATATACTATCTCTTCTTTCTTTCTCTTATTATTTTTTTTTTTACAGAAATGTTTTTTCTTTCTTTATATAATTTTTTTTTTACTTTCTCTCCTATTAAAGTTAGTTTTAACTTGTTTTAGCTATTAAGTTTTATTTTTCTTATA